CCAATCTGAGCTTCTCGAGCCGCGAATCCTTGATTATGTCCCTTACATCAACATGCCCGCTCACAGCCTCATCCTCTTCGATTATGAAGCCGTCGTTCGGATGATTGTATTCAAAAGTGAGTTCGCGAAGAGTTGTCTCGAAACTGTGCTTGAAAGCGCGAATCAGGTAGCGGAAAGCGGTGCCATCCAATACATCGCGTATGCTGCCTTCGTAATTGCTGTGCAATTTTAAACGTCTCAAGTTGAGAAACACTGCCGCAAAGACCTGTATTTCGTCGTCACCAAGCCCCCATTGGAGCGTATGATCAGTGAAGGAGATATCCAAAGTATCGAGCGTGTTGTTTTCGAATTCCCAGTCGTCGAAATGTTCGTCGGGAATCTCGCCAGCGGTAACACCGGAGAGGCGTAATGTCTTCAAGGTTTGCAACTTCAAAACTGGTATGATCTCGGATAGCGTGCCAGACACAATGTTCAAATCCAACTCTTGCAGGTTGGGTACATCCAGGATGAAGTTCCGTATCCGATTACCAAGGTAATCATACCGCATCGCGTAGACGGCCCGAACGTATAGCAGCAAATCAGGCCGGTTTTGAAAGGTCTGCAATAAGTCGTCTCCGTTATCTCTTGAGAGGATCAAAGAACGATAGATATACGGCTCTGTGATGCGACAAAACTTGCGTGAAACCAGCAATAGGTTGAGGAGATCGTCATAGTTTGATGTATGCCTGTTCGGCAGGGGATTGACGACTTCGGACACCACATGATCGAGTAGTTCTTCTGAAAGGCGCTCCATGACGGGAAGGGTGCGCAGGCAAAACAGATGTGACGGGTGGCGTTGTGCCTCAGCGATGCCTCAACTGTGTCGGCCCTCAATGAAGAGGCAAAGGGCGGCCACCGCCGCCGCGCTGCAGCTGGCTGATTCAGCACGCCTAGCGCTCAGCCCTATCGAGATAGCCCTGGAGGACCAACAGCGGACCACGTGCCGACTCACTTCAACTGACCGGGAAATTTCCCTCCACCCGTTTTCGTGTCACTGCGGTTCTCACAACTCCACCCAGACAGTTGCAATATCTACCCAATTCCTCACCCATATGCGACAGTTGCCGCACAATGGCGATCGTCAACGAGCGCGACTTCCCTCCACTTCCATCACCAAATGCAACGCGTCGACGCGCCGCTGAGCGTGTAGTCGAAACCAATGCCGCAGAACCACCTACAATCAAACCGCTTCCGACATTGAGTGATCTCCCCACTGAGCTTATCTTGCAGATAACCAACTACTTCCCCGGCATGGACATTGAAGACTTCCAGCTTCCTACGCTCCTCAGTCTGGCATTGACTAGTCGGCGTTTCTATAACGTTGTCGTCGACAAGATCTACTCTACATACGATAGCCATTTCTGCGAGCCCTACGCGTTCCTTCGTACCATGATAGAGGCTCCTCGGCTCGCAAAATATGTCCACAATGTGGAGATCGAACTCGGCACGTACAGTAGCCAGCGCTATCATGCGACAGCGAGCGACAAGAAATCCATCAAGGAGGGGTTGCGCGCGCTTGGTACATCCGACTGGAAAGAGTGGGCAGCTAGGTGCAACGGAACTCACCTCAATAACTACGCGCTACAGAAGCACGCGCTACAGAACGCGATATTGTTGCATGCACCAAAGATTAAACATCTCGGCGTTCGAGGAATCGCAAAGGAGAACTTGCGATATCCTTCCTGGATCGATCTCATTAGCAGGGCCGCGACAGGTCATCTCTCTTCACAAGCCCAGCGCTTCGAAAAGCTACAATCGATCAGCGTTGAGGCAGGTTCGTTAGGTTTGAGCGAGCTCGCACCTCTTTTCCGGCTACAACCGTTGCGAAAGCTGCATTTGTGCCAAACTTACCTTTATGGATATCGCCAAGATGATGCAGAAGGCGTACACAAATTACAACGTCTGATCCCAAAAGCGTGCAACGATCTAGAGGAGCTCGATCTGGAGAGCACTTATTACACCCCGCCGTTGCTGGAAGTATTGGTCTCCTCGTCGCGGTGCTTGAAGAGCATCAAGTACGAGACCGAGTCTGAACTTCACCTGGCAGAGCGGCCACCGGAAAACGGACAGCGGTACAAAACGCTGTCTGAAGTCTTACTCTGTCAGAAGGCATCACTTGAGACTCTTTGGGTTTGTTGCGATCCAGTCACCGAGGATGATACAAAGCGCAGCGTCCATCTCCGTGACAACCTCAAAGACTTTGCTTCGCTAAAACATCTCAGCTGTCCACTAGGCATGCTCTTGAACCACGATGACGACAACTTTGTGGAGCGATTGCCATCCTCACTGCTGACGTTTCGAACGCCAGTCCGGAATCACACCGAGGACCAACAGTGCTTGGAGGCCCTGAGAGACGTGGTAACCTCTTATCGGGAACATGTACCTGATTTGGAAGAGGTTCGGGTGGTTGCTCCAGAGGCTGCAACATGGTTCACATATAATTGGGAGCCTCTTGTTAAGCTCTTTTCGGCTGAAACAGGCATCAGCTTCGTGGTAGAACCTGGAGACACTGATGACGATGCCTTCAGTGACTGGGATGGTCATGAGACAGACTCGTCGCAATCCTCAGATGAGGTTGATTTGTACAGCGACGAGGAATGATGTACTAGTATTGCTCACGATTTCACGGTACCGGCCTTTTCTGAGAGTCATTCCCGCTTGTCTACATGGATAGCAGCAGACTCAGAGGGCCCATAATTATACAAAAGCCTTAAAAATGTAACGCATTGCACAACCGGGTTTTCGGCGGGCTCCAAATTGTGATGGCCGATGCTGGTCGGTACCAAAATGTGTCCTCACCCAAGGCAGCAGCTTTGCGCAGGCCACATCTCAATCGCAAACTTCGCAACGTCGCCACTAACACAGCGACATAAAACATTGCGAGTGCGCACTTTCTCTGCACTACCTACAGCAATCGTCGACTCTTTTCCTCATCCTATCGCAACGAAAGATGTCTTCTTCGGAAGACATTCCTGCGCCGCCAGTCAAATACGCGCACGCACCGCCCGAAGGAGAAGAACTGAAGCAATGGAAGACTTTAGTTCTCGCTATGATCGACAAGCGTATCGACCTCTACCCACGACCGTGTCCAAACAATCGAAGAACAAGGGCCGTTCGCGCGGTGCTTTTACTATTCGTCAGAATCAGGCAACTCTGGAGGAATGCGCTCCGTATCTGGCGTAGCAAACTTGCATCGGCATCTTGGACCGTCGATGTAGAACAAGACCAGCGCCCGGTATCCCTGGATTCAGATCGCGTTGTCACTGCTATTGAGAAGGCAGGCCATGTCCCTGAACTCGTTGAGAACATCATCCGCTTCGCCGATGAAGAGACCCAGATGCACGCTGCCTGGAACGTTTCCACTCTCTGGAGACATACCGTCGCGCATGTCATGACTACTCCAAACTCATTTCGTCCATTACTTCCATACGAAGTTGTGGAGCGTGGCAGTACGCGAAATCTGGATGCGATGAGTAGTCTTCCCGAGCCTAGTGACGAGGATTTCCAGATATTTGAGCAAGAGATGCTGCTCTTACGTGAGTTTCAGGCATCAAGAGACGCTGATGTCGCCACACGAGATTACGCATGGTCCGGGATATATCGACCTTACTGGCCGGCTCGCATTTACGCGTCGAAGGCCCTACCTGATCATCTCAAGACCTTGTACCATTTGGCCAGCATTCGCAATTCGTTGAACTCAGAAACAGATGAGTGGCGCGACTTCACACAGTTCGAGATGAACACTTACTTCCAAACTGTGTTCGCACGGCAGCTAACGGAGTCCGTCGGAGTGTATGAGTTCAAACTTGAGCCATTGGACCGAATCGAGAACCTCGTCTTTGGAACCACCCCTTACCTAGGAGCCTTTCGTGGACTAGTTGGCCCTATGCAGTTGACACAGCCACCTTGCAAAGCGATAGAGCTGCGTGTCCAAGTACCATTTGTGCATCCGGATACACAGAGGGATGTCGGATATCCATTATTTACCAGTGATTCGATGAACACTATTGTACACGTACTGAACTCAAGCGGCATAACGTGCGAACAGCTATGCGAAGCGCTCGAGGAGTGTGCCGACATGGTGCTACGCCATTGGCGACGCTGCGCGAAGCAGTTCCGAGAGAACGTCCTCGGGTTAGAACACTACACGAACGGCATATGGACTTTGCGCGGAAGACCAACGATATACATTGTGTTGAGCGACATTCGCCCTCGCACATTGAACGTATCTTCCAGTGCCTTGAACGTGCCTTCTATTATCGACCGCCAGCTCGAATGGATCCCGAAGGAGTTGGTTCGGACGACGGAGCACGTGGAAATTCGCGATGGAAGGCTTCGGCGATACCCCGATGATCTGGAGAGTTGACGTCATCATGCTCTTTTCTCCATTCTCAGTGTAACAACTTGCGACTGTTGTGCATCTACACGAGGCGAATTGAACTGATGATACCTCGCATGAAGGCCCTCTAGGTGTTCCGTACGACGCGATAACACACTACCTGGGCAACTTTGCGACATCGGTAGCAGATCATCCCAGGTTGTTCCCAACCCCCGCCTCGGTGGCCGAGACGACATGGAATTATTCCGCCGCCTACTCGCCTATTGAAGAAGCTGTTGCATCTAGTAATGTATTATGCGACAATTCATGTCAATGTTTTCGACCCCTCCACGCATCGGTTTCGCCCGTCTACTCGCCTCTGACCCGTGCCGTCCCCACAAGCCGCCCACTCGCCCCTGACCCGCGCTTCTGAATTGCCGATATTGCCATGCGCATGCGCGCACGCTCAGGGTCTGAGACAGAAAAGGTCGGTATGCGAAGTGGATACATACGTACATAGCTTCTCCAATCCATCTCGGTACTTCTACGGCCCGTTTCGTCGTTCCTTTACATCGTTCTTATCATCAAAAAGCAACAACAAACTCATCAACAGCAATTGGCAGGCCAAAAGTCAAAAGCAAAAATGTCTAACCCCTCAGTTGTCAAGCCCGATCCGTCCTACGTCGTACCCCTCCTCATCAACGGCGAGGAGGTCACCACCAAAACCACCTTTCCCGTAACATCACCCTCATCGCACGAGGAAGTATGGAGCTCTTCGTCCGCCTCTCTGGAAGAGGTCAAGAGTGCCGTTGCGGCGGCAAAGGGCGCATTCCCCGCTTGGTCCAAGATGAAGCATTCCGCTAAGCGCAACATCTTCCTCAAGGCCGCCGACGTGATCGATGCGCGCGCGGAAGAATTCGCAGACTACATGAAGATTGAGACTGGTGCTGCGGATAACTTCAGCAATGGCTTCAATGTGCCCAAGATGGCGGATATGCTGAGGGATGTGGCCGGCAGGTTGAGCGCGGTGATGGGACACATTCCCAGCTGTGAAGAGGAGGACACCAGTGCGTTGATCGTTAAAGAGCCTTACGGTGTTGTGTTGGGTATTGCGCCTTGGTAAGGATTTTCCTGTTGATACATGTACGCATGCGACAAAACTGACGAGAGCACCAGGAACGCCCCATATGTGCTTGGCATGCGATCGATTCTGTACCCTCTAGCTGCGGGTAACACCGCCATCCTGAAGGGTAGCGAATTCTGTCCTCGTACATGGTGGGCCATTGGCAGCGCCCTGACCGAGGCTGGTCTTCCCGCCGGTGCGCTCAATGTCCTTGTCCACCGTCCCGAGGATGCGGCGCAAGTCACCACGGCCTTGATCGAGGAGCCCGCGATCAAGAAGATCAACTTCACCGGTTCCACCGCTGTTGGTCGCATCATCGCATCGACAGCTGGCAAGAACCTCAAGCCCGTTCTACTCGAACTAGGAGGTAAAGCGAGCGCCATTGTCCTCGACGATGCGAACTTGCAGACAGCAGCAGTACAATGTGCGCTTGGTGCTTTCCTGCATGCAGGCCAGATCTGCATGAGCTCAGAACGCATTCTCGTGCACAAGAACATCAAGCCGCAATTCATCGAAGCTTTCAAGGGTGCCGTTGAGGGCATCTTTGGCGGCGACAAGCCTGCTCCTATTCTCGTAGCTGCACCCGGTGTAGAGAAGAATAAGACTCTCGTTGCCAATGCGGTCAAGAACGGCGCGAAAGTCGTACACGGCGACCACGAGAAAGATGAGACGCACCCTGAGACGAACGAGACTTCGGCCACACGTCTGCGACCCATCATTGTTGACGGAGTAACCAAGGACATGGATCTCTTCCATACTGAGTCTTTCGGTCCTTCCGTCTCCGTCATTGAAATTTCCAGCGATGAGGAAGCCATTGAGATCGCCAACGATACCGACTATGGTCTTTCGGGCGCTGTGTTCACAGAGAACCTTGGCCGCGGTCTACGCGTTGCAAAGCAGATTGAAAGCGGGTAAGTTCAGTAAAAAACGCATGATGTGGCGTGAATGGTCACTGCGGGGAAATTTGATGGCTAACATAATGATACAGAGCTATCCACATCAACTCCATGACGGTGCACGATGAGTGGACCTTGCCGCATGGTGGTGCAAAGGCAAGTGGATTCGGCCGTTTCAACGGACACTGGGGTATTGAAGAATTCTTGAGGATGAAGACTATTACCTACAAGGAGTAAGAGTGATTGTCTATAGCTCAAGCAATACATTCCTACTTCCTAGCTCGGCAAACAGCGATACTCTGAAGTCGGTAAATTATGGAGTACGTGGTGCGACTTCGAACCCCGAGCCCGGTTTGCTTTCTCCTGATTCAGCCAATCACATGTCCTGCGGCTCCGGTTTGGATATGCTTGGAATTTTCTCCTTACTTGTCTCTGCCACGCCACATTCGTAAGTCGTGCGCCCTCTAGTATCGGTTTAGGGGATGTATCTCCATGTACGTTCGAGCCACAGACAGCGGTGACGCAAGGTCCATTGCGAAGGGTATATCTAGCAACAGCCACCATAATGTACAGCGAAGTCATCCCCGAAAGGGAGAACACAGCTTCCAGCTTGCAACGGGTGGCTTCTCTGAAGAAGTACTCATTCCCCGCACGACGCCCTTCTTACTGAGAATGGCGGAGTACACATTACCATATTCGATGTCAAACACAACGTGGGCGGCGGGGTGGAGTTGCTTATAATCCTGATGGCATAACCCCGATTTCACCCCTTCGTTGACACCGCGATCCGATCTACACGAAGTCGCAAAGAAACTTCGAGACAAAACGCCATGATGCATACTACATCCATCCTCCTGACCCTCCTCCCCTTCCTCTCCCTCACATCACCCGCCACCGCAGCCTTCCCCTCCCTCTCCCTCACCAACATCCAATTCTCCTCCTACGTCCTATATGTCTCGCCCTCCGCTCAGGGCCCCCGACAAGGCGTCATCGGCTTCACCATGACCAACAGCGCCATCGAAGTACCCATCTCCTGCAACGCCATATCCTACAACGCCTACGCCCTCTTCTCTCCCACCGTGACCTACGAATGCAACTTCGCGCCCGCGGGAGGCGAAGAAGGGAGGGAGGACCCCTGGTGCTACACCAACAGTGCGACGTTCAATCTCGATACGACGAAACGGGATGAGAAGAATGAGACGGTCTATGATTTGACGGTGCAGATGAGTTGGACGTGTCAAGAGTACGTCTTTTACCTTCCTTTTCTGTGATGATAATTTGGCTGACAATTATCACAGTGAGGGTGTTTACGGTCTTTCCGCCCAAACTGTCTTGGAACTGGACTGTAGCGTGTGGGCGTGTGAGAACCACATGTGGCCGAAGTATGATATCTTCTCCAATACTAGTACGTACTGCGCACCGTACAACGTTAGTTTCGGGACTGGAGATGTCGAGGTGCTGAAGTTGGAGTAAGAATGAGGAGCTGGAGTCTTGTGGTTGTCGGGTTGATGTAGGAGTAGTGCTGTTGTAATGAATTGATACTGCTGCATTCTAGATCTTGTCGGCGTTCTGAATAGCCTTCTTGGTGTTTTAACAGAATTGGACACTGGTGCATTCTAGATCTGGCCGTTGTTTTGAGTAGCCCTTTGTGAAATGTACTGTGCTGATCTTTTGCGGCTGAACTCTGCAGAGGCTTGATGCATGTGTAGTCTGTTGTTCTAGGTTTCCTTTAGTCTACCAGCGAATGATCTGGATCACGGTACATCGTCCTGTGGCTTCGGTTAGTCTTCGATGTGGCTGGCTGTCTTACCGGTCACGTCTACACGATAGGCGCTGGGTAGCCTTGATCTAAGCTGTTCACCCCGCATTATGCAGATTCTGGCGTTTCTTGTTCGACTCTGGTCTAATCATTGGAGAGTGCCTTATCAAAAGAAAGTCATCTGCATTTCCTCAATGCAGCGACTCCTGATGGAAAGGAGAACGAGGCTAACTCGTCAATAGATTGAAGCTCTGGCGATCCATCATGACGAACTCAATCGTCATTATTCAATGACCCTTTAGCCCAGGGAACGGGAAACAGCGTAATGTCTACCAGGCGATCAAGCGGGTGTAGACGCCGACATAGAAGATGCGCTATCAATTCTCCGGTAGCCTGCTCTTGGTATTCGATCGGATGCGAACACCCTGTGCCACGCTGGTGCTCTTTGAATTTCTCGTGGGATCCAACTAAACTCGTACAGGTCACGATCGCCCCACCCGTCACATCCATCACGTCGTAGAGCTACATTGGCGCGCGAGCTACCCTTTGTTAGCCCAGCCTAGCACAGATCGTGAGATGGGACAATGGAATTGTGATTGGCTTTGTCCGGCCTTGTTGGTAGCTAAAACCCAAGACTGTGGAACCAAAGGCCGTTCACTGGGCGGATTTTATTGTACACCAGTCGTGCGGACTGCTCTGATTGTGCGATCGTGATATCTATGAAACGTAGGTTTGTGGGCATGTTCGGCATTGAGGAGCCGATGCGATCGTCGTGTTGCAGGTCAGCAAGAAATCTTTTTGTGGCAAAGCGTACACGTAGGCGAAGGGCTCGCAACACAATAATTCCTCTCGCGATGCTGAAGTACGAGAATATCCATGGGAAATTAGAAAATCCAGGGGAGTCCCCCAGTCTGGATACAGCCGGCGATAAAGTTCGATTTGCGCATCGACCCAGAGATTGAAGATGCACTATTCCGGGCGCTTTCTAGCAGAGGCCGTGCGCTTCCCGCGTCAAAGTGACGCTTGCCATTGCCGGACCACCAACAGAACTCCTTTCCAGCCATCTCCAGGCTGATCACACGCCACGACTTTTTCTCAGGCTTGCCAGCCCACACCATGCAGGAGTTCTGAAGTTCCGTGCTGGCGGAGTGGATCTGGGTGCGCTGGGGATACCCGCTTGTCCGCATGCAGTTGGAATGCGCATGCTAAATAAAGCCAGACTCAGCCCGCGCGAGGGGTGCGGCTGAGTACCACCACCGTATTTGTCTTGCACGGTACACTTTCCCTTCCCCACTCCGTTGTTTGGTAAGAGGTTGGTCGGCCATTACTTTCGTTTATACTCTCGTTCGCCGTTAGACCTCCTTTGGGGATTCACGTTTCGCATCCAGGACTTAATCAAAAGATTCGCATAGAGGGGTAATAGTAAGATGATGGCACTCGAATCACCACAGCCGCTTTCGAGGAAGAAGTCGATATTCCGACGTTTCTCCAGACGAGAACGCGGCGATGCTCCTCCGTCGCCATTCCTCATGAGCGAGGGCCTACGATCACCGCATCTACAATCGTCAAATCCACAGTCGCCGAGAAGGCTACAACGCCGCCCATCACACCGACCGTTGAGCCTTCTTACACCGCCAGCGTCACCTACAGAGAAGAGTCCTATCGTAACTATCGATGCTTCGAAACCTCAACAACCCAAGATGGTCACACACATCCAGCGCATCGACTTGCCAATATATCAACGCAACCGGAGCGAATTCACACCTCCACCCTCTCCAGAACCGCGGCGACGCATTCTTCCCAGCGCGCTACCTACCATGCCATTCCCCGGCAAGCCTCTCATAACGTCGTGGAACGTCTTCCTTCCACCATCACAAATATACTCGTTATATCTTGGTTATGCCCCACGGGACATGGACGACAAGTGGTACATCTACAGCGAGGGTCCTGATCAGGCTGGAAAGCTAAAGGTGCACTTCCATCGGAGTTGGACTGGCATGAAGGTGGCAGAACTGTTTGTGGTAATGGATACAAAAGGCGAGGGTGCTGGAAAGATTGTTGGCATCAAGTGGAATGGAGGTGAAGAGATGAACTGGATGAGCGAGGAAGAGGCCAAATACATGATACGGACGGCTTGCAGGTGGCAATTAGCCGTGGATTTGGAGAAATGAAGCCACGCGACGGCCAGGCCGAGAGCCTGTTTCTGTTCGGCGGCAAGATGTTTCCTCTTTCCTTTTCTTGACGCGCATTAGCCCGCGGCTTTCCTTCGATCCGTACCGTTTGGCGTCCCATGAAACGACGTTCCAAGCATTCTAATAAGATCTCTATACCCGTTGAGGGTATACAAACCTCTAATATCAAGCTTCTCTTTTCAAGTACCGCATTGGCGCGCGCCTCGTTCCCGTGATCGGTAGTCGTAGCGTGAGATGTTAACATACCATCGATCTGATAGGTTCCCCCACCGAGTGACTCTCAGCATCCGACCAAAAGTAAAACATGTGGATTCAACAATCCGATACCTTCTCTCTGAGGTCAAGCGTGTATACCGGTGGAGGTATCGTGGTGTTGGTGGTATGACTTCTTGCAGCAGCCTCGCGCAGGCTAATCAGGCCACCCTGCCATCGCGCCCTCCGGTTCCTATGGAGGCATACCCAGATCGTGTGATTGGATCGTGAGTGCAACCAACATGTGGTACATGAAGCACATTTTTCTTTTATCGCATTCTCGACTTTATCCTCTTCGCCTTCATTGCAAATGCCAGTGGCATGGTCCTTACAAAGTCTCAACATAACAATGACGGTGATGTGCCGTGTAACTAGGCTCGTGGGGTCCAGGAGCCGCCAACTGCACGCTTCCGAACATCTTTCGCGTCTTCCCTTCTTCGGTGCTACTGTTCCTCGCCCACAATCTCTCCCCACACAATCCATGGCAGCAAGTGTGCTACCGACAGAATTGAACGTTTCGGTCCGAAATGCAGTCCAACTTCACACCTTCCTCCAAATCTTCTTCCCCCCAGCCGCAGCGCCTGCCAGTTAATCCAAGACGGCACAAGGTCGACCCGTCGTTACGAAAGCGCGTCGTAAGAGCGTGAGTAAATTCCCAGCCTCATGTTTCGCGTTGGTACTGGTTGTGGTTTCTTGGTACTACGGTGCCGATGGATGTCGCCCAGGCAATTAGGAAGCGCATACGTCAGCAGGGCTCATCGGCAGCATCACGAACACGCATCGCTCAAGTCATGCACCATGCAAGCACCCGTCTAAAGCTCATCACTGACGTACGGCGCGTAGATGCAACGCGTGTAACGTTCGTCGCGTCCGGTGCTCGGGGGAGCAGCCGTGCCAACGATGTAGCAAAACCTCACGCGAATGCGAGTACCCAGCACCGGAATCAGATAAGCACTCTCTCAAAGACGAGCTCGAACGCTTGCGAGCGCGTTGTGCAGCACTCGAGACAGGGTTCAAAATCGCTGCACCTGAAGAGGCCGCCGAGATCATTGGGCAGCTCGACCATGGCGGGCCAGGAACGCGTTCGACCGCGCCGACTTTTCTTTCCGTCTCAATGGAGCTCGATCAAGCCGACACGAACGATGGCCGCCTGCTTGTTGACCCTAGTGGTACCCCGAGATTCTTCGGTGAAACGTCTGGAGCGACGTTCCTGGATTACCTAAAGCAATTCATGCTTACGCTGGTTCCTCTGACTTTCCAGCCCGAGTCGGCGGATGGGTCTTCATTCGTTGCATCGATTGGACGTTATCAGACATACGACTCGCGACCAATCCCCAATCCAAGCGTGGATCCGTTATGGCTCCCGGATCAGGACGACATGGCATTGATGCTTGCCCAACTGCGAGCCTACATCCAGGATGGCAATGGCGAGTTTCTGTCTGGCGGGATATACTGTAAGCTATGCGTGGATGATTGACTGTGCTTTCACTAATCTTCACCCAGGGTGGGGCGATCTTACCCAGTTTCCCACGTCTGCGGCTCCTTCCGTCTTGCTGAGTGCAATGACGACAGACGACACTCACCGCGGCTTAGCCTTCTACCATGTCTGCTTCGCCCTAGCTACGTCTTTCGGTCATCAGTCTTCCCGACGCTCAGATCAGCATGCGGGAGAGGCGTACTTCAAGCGTGCGCGAAAGCTCCTCGGGAATCCATTAGATACCGTGCGATTCACTCTGGATGACGTCCCAGTATTGACTCTCATGGGCTTCTACCTCATCGAGCTGAACCGCAGAGATGCAGCATACGTATATGTAAGAGAGACTGAAGCACTGCATACAAGACACGCACTTACAATCTCCAGGTCAGTTTAGCGATTCACATTGCCATTATACATGGTGCATTCAGGTCTTGCAATGATGAAGCGAGCAAACGCACATTCTGGACTCTTTACATATTAGACAGATGGCTTTCTGTGCTGATGGGGCGCCCGCCAACTCTACTTGATGAAGCTATAAGGCTGCCTCTACCATGCGATGTGCCGTAAGTATCTTACACATGTAAATATGAGAGCGTCCGCTAAACTTCCCAGCTCAATGCCGCCATGTGCAGGTCTCCGAGCACACGTAGAGTTGTCACGCATCTCTGGCTATATCGTCTGCGAGACATTCAAAATCGCACCACGACACTACCAACGTGGCTACTCGACCTTGAATGTGGACAAGGCTCTGGACCAACTCGAAAACTGGAAACTCAACCTACCGCCGGTGCTAGCTATTGACGTTGACGCTGATCCCGCGGTTCTGTCCCTCCATCTAGCTTACAACCAACTCATCGTCCTCACGACTCGGCCCATCCTCCTGGCCGCTGTCAAGCAAGCCGTGGCTGAGCGCTACATGAATGGCCAGTGGTCTGTGCAGCAACATGCGCATAGCAAATATGTTCAGGCCTGTCCAGAGGCCGCGCAGCGAAACTTGCTTTTGGCCAAGCGATTGCGATCTACAAGGAAGCTGCTGCAAGCTGGTCTACACTTTGTCTTCAACGCAGCTGTTATCTTGATACTAGATCAGATTCTCCACTCTTCCAGCACTGCCCCCACGGCTACCGCGCTTAATGCTCCAGTGTACGCCATGGAGATAGACTTTGCGATGCGCACCTTCGAGGAGGAGTCAAGAACCGGTACTAACTACCCCAGAGACTGTTACAAAGTCCTGCAAGATCTCAAGGCTCTTGTCGACCGCTACCTCTCCCATGGTCATGGACACTTCGAGCAGAGCAACGACCCCGGTCTCGTCATCAATACTCCCAGACCGCAGTACAATGCGCAACGAGACGCAGAACTTCAAGGAAACGCATCGAACACCACAGCTGGCACTGTTTACCAGGAGCTACGAACCTGGATGCAGAGTGACGGATTGAAGCTACATAACAGCTTACTCATTTGAAACGGACTTCATCCACCGGGAATGCTACCCGGACGAGTGATTGATCAGAAACCTTATTCTCCCCGCGGCGCCCTCTTATGCCCGCGGAATGCACAACCAATCACACCGCTGCAGTGACACTGATGAGGAAACGCGCGAAGGCAAGTAGCTCTTACCACCCTGCTGGACCATCAAGGCCGGTCGACGCTATAACCGATAAACGAGACAAGAACTTGGTAACGGCACGTGTAGTGCATAAAGTTCCTGCTTCGAGCTGCCGCGCGGCGAGGGCATAGGGAAGATCATTTCGAGAAGTTTCCATTACTCCGTATTATCGCGACGGCCATTCGATGACAGTAGACGATGTCATCATATCCAATTCAGCTTTGCCTCCACGAAAGCCCTTTTACCACTCTTGTCGAGATAAGCAACCATATGCAAAAACAGCGTTTGGCTCTCGCTCCGAGGTGTCATAGTCGAAACCCACCCGGCGAGCAGGGGTCACACCTTGCGCGGTGGGCTCCGATTGGCCAAGCTTAGCCCGGCACGCTTCGATCTAGAGGCTCCTGCAGGCCAAGCTGTATAACCACCCTTTGATCGGACAAATTCAATGGGGTGAAAAGAAGCGGTAACATATCGACAATGGGTCACGGGAGGCCAAAGACTAGGGTCCTGGGAGCTGAAGAGCCTCACCAAAGCAATTACGTACATGTCAATGAGGAAAATGGTCAAGGGCGTTCTTTTACCTAGGGCAAGCTTGGCCACTTGATCGCGCGGAACTTGCCTTTACTATGGTTTCTACTACTAGAGAAGAAAGAGATCCTCTTATTTCCACTTGTGTTCGCAGCAGCAGCAGCAAATCCGCAGTCATGAGTTCCACGGTCAACTTGGGAAACCAAGCTCCAACAATGACAGACGAGGAAGCCCCTGGTCCAGAGGAGCGTTGCATGTCGAGTCGCGTGAACCGAAAGATGGACATTGCACTTTTACCTTGCCTGTCCCTGTTGTACCTGTTCAATGGATTAGATCGATCGAATGTTGGGAATGCGGAGACGCAAGGTATGTTTAGATCGATCAGGTCAACCCCATGATGCTGATCCTACGAACACCAAAGGAACGGTTCTCCTAACGTCTTACATGCAGGGTTCACAAAAGACATCGGCGCAACTCCGGACGATCTCAACTTAGCAGTCTCGCTCTTCTTCGTCACATTCGTGTTACTCCAGCCGCCGTCGGCGGCCGTGGGGAGATGGCTGGGCGCAAAGCATTGGATAACTATCATAATGGCAAGACCTACAATATCGTTATTTTCAACCTGGTCATTTCTGATACGAAAAGATAGATCGGATGGGGCATCTTCACCCTAGCCCACGCCTTCATCCGCGGCCCCGGCCGCCTCATCGCCGTCCGCCTGATGATCGGAGCCTTCGAAGCAGGCTTCTACCCTACAGCCATCGCGTACCTCTCCACCTTCTACGGGCGCTACGACATGGGCGTCAGGATTGGTCTTTTCTACGGCCAATACGCCATCGCCGGCGCGTTTTCGGGGTCTATTGGTATGTTCAACTTCCCACTTTACTGTGTTCAGTAATCCTGTACTGTATGTCATGTATGCTAATACGAACCAAGCATTCGGTATCTTCCACCTCAACAACACGCGTCTGCATAATTGGCAGTACCTCTTCATCATCGAAGGCAGTCTGACCATCCTCATCGCCATACTCGCGTGGTTCTGGTTACCAGCCGGACCAGGTACCGCATGGTTTCTCAGCCACGAAGAACAAGTCTTCGCTGTTCAACGCATCA